GTGCTCAGGGGCGCAAACATGCGCCTACACGCACAAGAGTACTCGAGAACTCGACTTTTCTGAATGGACTGTAGTTCTTCTAAGGCAAACGTGTGTACTGTTCGCAACAATGTCTCTTCTATCTTCCAAAAATCGAAAGAGATTAGAACTTAGAAGAGGCATCTGCAGTCAACTTCGCTAATAACTACTGCAGATATAACGACAATTCGCGAATAACGACAGAATTTCCTTGCCCAGAGCAAAGTCCCATCCAACTGTAATAGTAAAATACATTATATTGAGACTTCGGGTATAACGACACTTCGCGAATGAGGACACTTTCTGATGCCCCGCCGAGTGTCGTTATAAGCGAAATTGACTGTAATGTCATAATTATGAGCTTGTGCGAACACTCTTCCTACAACAAAATGCCCCATCAGAAAATGGAAGAGGCCCAAATCCACTTTACTTTCAGTGTATCCATGACTAGTCCCATCTGTATCTTCGGAAATAATATTCCCAGTGCTACTACCGGAAGCAGCACGCGCACGCATGCACTCCCTGGCCAGTCTGTGTACAACTCCTACTCAGAGGCTGCACAGCAGACACATTTCTGCAACACACCTCAACTCTCACGTCCATTGAAAGTCTACTTTCATGACCAATGTTGATGATCTAAGGAGAGATTCCTAGACTCACCGTTTTCTTCACTCCCCATAATCCAGGATAACTAATCTTGTTCTTCATCTTTTCTCCCTTTCCATCGTCATCATAACATTGGGCATGATTGCCCGTTTGACTTGCGATGTAAAACAAAAGCAAAATAATTATTATGCAGTTTCCACATTCTTCAATTGCGTCTCATTCAGATTATAATTTTACCTAGTGCATTTCAGCGAGCATCAGACAGCATTTTGTATCTCTTAAACTGTCAAATCCTATATGTATAGGATTTTTTGAAAAATTTCCAATAATCCTGACCATGCTTCCGCCCGGGATAAGTTGTGTGCCTAAATTGTATTGTAAGGTGTTATGGCAGTATCAGTAGGTTCTCTTCAGAAGTTTTCAAGAGTGCCAGTATTATCGCTTGACTTATAGGGCCATTTTAGTGAGGACACGTCAGTTTTTTGTCAGATCCTATAATTATACCTGTATAGGATTTGAGTTTTCTGCAGAGTGTTGTAATGGATGCAGATGATGATAGAATGCTTAGTATGCTGAATAAGTACACAGATACCATGAATAGATGTCTGTGATTGATTGGGGAGCACTGCCACAGGTTGGCATATCTGGTGCTTTTAGCTGTACTACATCGGAAGTTTCACCCCAAAAATTGGCCGATCGGCTTGAAATTTGGATTATTCCTACGAAAGTGTATGGAAAACAGTTCCAAACACCTCATGAAACCCATTTCATCAATTTGCATAGGTACTACTAGTAGTTTAGCGACATCCTTAGGCTTTAGCCAGAAACCAAATCCTATTATAGGATTTGCTGGTGACACATTGAGCACTCTTCCTGGAGCTGCCTAGCTAGACCGGCCTTGTTTCAAGCTGCCTTCTTCAAGTGCGCTTTTCACAGGAGTTTTGGGTCATTCATGTTTACAGTGCTAGTACATGTACAGACAGCCGGGATAACTTATGCACATACACCAGTACACTGTACATGCCAGTCTGATGATAGATATTTGCAAGCAAGAGCTCAGTCACATTATTGTCGTGTTTATGACTATGTGTGACTGTGTGCTGTAAAGGATAGGTGAACCCACACATTGAAGTCTTCTCCAGATCACAGAGACTTGTTTACACCATAGCCTATGAATGATCCTACTACATGACTTGTCTTACTATGTGCCGTGCACTGACTACTGAGTATGACTGTACTACCACATGCAGTGCTGCCAAATAATTTTCGCCCAAAATCGGACACCCTTCACCGCCAACGCTGGCCACATTGTGCGAATTTTCCTCCTCGGCAATTTTTTTACAGAGAATATTCAAAATAATTATTGCCTAAAACACCATGAAAATTCGCTTCGTTGCCATGGTAACCCCAGAGTTGTCATGAATTTTGTAATGATGAGTGTGGTCGCACACTGACTCTGTACAGACTGTCAGTGTACATGCCATCCAGCCTGATCCAGGCATGGTTACTTTGCACTTCCACAGCCAAGCGCTAGCCTTTTTAGAAGCAAATGTACAGTGATTAGTGCCTTCAGTTGCGCTGAAAAGTGAAAGTACAGGACTTCTGCATATAGGAAAGTAATGATCTCCGACATTTTGGCTGCTTTTCGGACGTTTCCCTTTTCGGACCGGTTTTCGGAAGAGCCTTCAAAAATCGGACACTGTCCGAAAAATCGGACGGTTTGGCAGCACTGTACATGTAGTAGTACCAAGGCAAGAGTACATAACATTGGGGTTATGCACTCTTGGTAGTACATGTAGGCATACATGTATCGATATGTATGTCTGACGAGATGTTCTTGAACTGGCATGCTGCTTTGACAAGAACTTAAAAAAAAGTGACTTTTAAAAGTCTTTGGTTAGATAAGGTTTAGAATTGGGTGCTCAATGGCCTGGGGGAATTAATCATGTTTGCGATCAGTATCACCAAGAGTACGGTTCTTCCGTCTACGCATCTCTTCTTGGCTTGTGGATTGTTTGAAAAGAGATTAAAATAATATTATTACATACAAAAATACCTATATTCTGCTTGTGACTACTCACAGAGAAAGAGTGGTCGCAACTGTACATTCCGCATGTACATGTAACTGTTCGCATGGAATTGTAGTGGTCACAACTGTATTCTGTGACCGCTCATAGGGAATTATAGTTTCCACAACAAATCCTGCAGTACGAAGCACTCCGCGAGCAGTCACGAACTGTGTGCTTTACACATGTACATGTATGGTGATTTGTGACTGGTAAACTAATTTGTGACTGGTCATGGGGGGTTTGTGACTGTTTGACTGGTCACGGGGACCGTGATTGGTCATGGGGCCTTGACTGGTCACTGAGTCCTACATATAAGAACAGCTCTCGAACTTTTCGGAGAGTCTCCAACTTTTCCGAGAGAACGCACCCTTACTCCCCCTTACTTTGGCCTTAGTTCCTTTCTACTCACCTCTCAGTCACATCAAGACATACACACAGACCAGTCACAGACAGTACACCATGCCATGGTTCACTCACACTCAACGACATCACGGGTCTTGCTTTCCTGGTCGAGATACCTGGTACATGTACATGTAGGTCTATATACTGGTAGCCAGCAGATAATGATTTCGTGGAGAGTTGCCTTGACTTGTGCTGGTTGCGCACAGTCTCATGATCGACTTGCCAGCGCTAGCGTACAAAGTCGAAGGTCTCATTCATGATTAAATCAATCACAATTAAATTTTATCGGTGCACTATAATCGCGCTTACGTGCACAACTGTCTGACCTTCTTTTCGGAGCAGAGTTTTACGCATAGTACCCAGCCTCAGTTACCGGGTCGACTGGAAGTGAAAAGCAAGGACTTGGCCTTAGCCATGTTGCATGTTAGCCTAGGCTACACTGTTTCTTACATGCAATTGTTACATTGACAGCATGAAACAAGGTGGAGGACGCTGTGTTCGGAAACAGTGACCTTACTACAACCTTCCAATTGCGTGAACTATAACAAGGTTTATCTAATACTGGTTTTTTTAACCAGTGTTGGATTATAACACCTGTTTCTTACATGTAACATTTTCAGTGTTACTTGCAGTCAGTATTTTCGGACGTACATAGTCATTACACACATGATACTGATACTAGCAGCGCTGATCAAACCACGTCTACGACATGCGCATAATGACGCACACGTGCCATGTTTTTGAGGGGTGCGTTACAAGATCTCTGATTTTTTTAAAGTAACGACTGGTTACGTAACGACGGTTACGTCGTTAGTTAGTTTTTAGTAGTTAGTTTTGTTAGTTTTGACGTAGATGTCTACGTGACCTGCGCCGCCCACGTCTTCTGCAGTTTTAGTTTTGCCATCGATCAAAACGACAAAAGCCTACGCGCTAAGCTACATACACACTACACCTGTAGTGTAGGCTGTAGCCTGAGTGTAGGCTGTAATCTACACTATTTTTGTAGTAGATCTACTACAGACAGTCTACAGCTAGCTAGCTCTGCACCTGACTCCTGGCTCGACCTGTTTACCAGGCTGTGTGGTCGGTGAGGCTGTGAGTGTGACTGTGAGAGTCACTCTTAGTCTTATGCCGCACCAGACGAGTCTTTGATCGTGCGCGTGACTTGAGACAAGTAGTAGTTAGTTGAGTGTGAATGTGTGCATGTGATACAGTCAGTCACCAAATCAGACCATGCAGTGACTAGTATTGACTAGTGTACTGTGTAGTCTGTGTAGAGAATCGTAAGTCGTCGTAACCGTTTGGCCCGGGTACGACTCCCTGTCCCTGTTCACTGGTACATGGTGTACACTGATCGTACAGTGCTACTGCTACAGTGCTGGCAACTGAAATCCGATCCCCTGGGCGGTGCGTTCACTTTCTAGCGGCCTCTACCGGTATTTCGTAGTGTTAAGATGTGAGCGCACCGCTTAGGCCAGTTAGGGGGTTGGATTTCAGTTGCCAGCACTGTACTCTGTAGTACACTAGTACTAGCTAGCGACTGTACTGGTGCTTCGAACCTTCATTCAAAAGAAAGAAGAAGAAAACCCGCTACATGCTACAGTACAATGTACATTTGTAGTGTACAGCAGTCATGCGTGGTGCCTGTACTGTACTGGTACTGGTAGACCTACAAGTACAAGTACAGTCGACTAGTCAGTGATTGGCGAAGGGATGCAATGCCCGCTAACTCACTCAGTCACTGAACTGAAGCAGCGCGACTGTGGTCAGTGACAGTCAGTCTGTGTGACTGAAGAAGGTTTTTCACAACTAACTAACTAACAGTTACTTTTTGCCTACTGTAGTTTTGGCACATAGTACCGACTGTAAATCTACGACACTACTCACTAGTACAGAGTAGAACTACAGCCTGCCGCGTACTGCAGTGTAGACCTAGTGTTTGTAGTGTAGCGACTACTGCTGGCAGTGCTGCCGCAACGGTGTTGTCTGATAGTGATCGAGTTCTTTCCAAGTCAAGTCAGAATGTAGCAGTAGAGAGGCAGTTTATGATCTTGCAGCCATCTAGAGTGGAGTCGAGTCGTGGCTTGCCCACGACAGCCTACTGGGCTGCTGCTGCGCTGGGAGGTCGAAGGCGAAAGCCTTCCCCGTTGTTCATAGACGTTCATCTCTCCGTTGGCGTTCGAGTGGTGGATTTTCATGGTGACTTGACAACTAGCCTAGTGTGCAGAGCGTGTGTGAAGAATGATTTCGGACTTGGAGAATATCGTGGCCAACACCATGCTGGTGACGGTCAGAAATGGTGAAGGTATGACTGGATGCTTATACGAATTCCAATCATGTCGCTTGTTTCTAGTATCCTATCATTTCCTTTATTTTTACTGCGTGGAAATGCTTCTCGGATCCAGAGAGGGAGAGGTATCTGACTACGATGAGTCTGAATTCGTGTTGCGTGCATGGGTGTATAGGCCTATGTGTGTGTTCAAAAGCAGAAGTGCTCGATCTTGTGTGTTGCTGTATCCCATTCCATCGTGAGGAGGTTCGTGTCCTGTTGCTGCCGGTTGAATTCTGTCGCGAACTTCTCTTTCTTTTTCGCTTTTCTCATTCATTTGCTGCCAGGTTTCCCGTCACAAGAAATGTTAGTTGTAATTTGTGTCATTTTTCACCTGCCCGCAGGCGACGGCGATGGAAAGCGGAGAGGAAAAAGCAAGAACTGGCGCAAATACATCCCAATGCCGAATATTGCCAAATGCTCCACTCTGCGCGAGGAATTGGGTCAGTGCTGTGAACACAATTATTGTGTCACTTTTAGTCTTTAGTCCCTATTGTTAGGGTGAACGTGTGCGTTTTCTTGGTAATTATTTTTCTTCTTTGAAGATGTCTCACCCAGAAACTGTCTTATCTCCAGTAATCTCCACTGCTGGCTGCGCAATACTCCTGTTTGCATTTGCGAATACTTACCCGGTATCTAGATCTGAAGTGGTCGGCGGGCGATGGTATGAATGGGTGCTTCTCCGATGACGGTGCTCGTAATGCTATTTTGCGATTTCCAATTATTTGTCGTTCCAGATATCGATTTCAACTATCTTTTCGATCATCAGCCGATTGGCAAGGAGCTATTCGAACGATTCTGCCAGAATGCATCCAGTAGTGCCGCGGCGCGGAACTCTCTATGCTTTCTCAACAAAGTCGTAAGGAATTGTTGTAGCTGCCTCTTGTATTGTGTTGTGTACGATTCAGTCTTGTTCGGATGCATGATGTCCAGTTACTTCGTGTAATGGTTCACTAATAGCACTGCTTTTCGACTTTCGTGGGTAAGCAGTGAGCGTTCATGTACTGGTTTGGTTTGCCAAAATAATTTCGAGGCAATGTTCCATCTCAAGCGGCTCGTGGCATGTTTGTCCAATAGAATTCTGGTGACATCTGGCAGATTGCACCTTTGGGTGTTTTTGTTTTTGTGTGTTTGACTGCAGGCAGTATTTAGTGTCGCTGTAGCTGAAAAGCGTCATGCTTTGGCCGAGGAAATCGTCACACGCTGTCTCGTCGACACCGAGGTTTGTAATGGTGGAGAACGATTTGGCTGTTTTCTTGTTCCGCAACTATTGCTTCTGAGCACCGCGGCGACTGTTTTGTTTTGGGCAGGTGTTGTGAGTGAATATGCTGGAAGCCCGGCGCAGTAGGCCCGGCCTGCTGGCAGATCTATGACCAAAGCTTCATGCCTGCTGGATACGTTGTTCCCACTTCAAACAGTGGTGTGTTCGGTAGTCTACATCTTGACGTAACGATCCATTCTGTTATGCCTGTCTTGGAAGTGGGGTCGAGAGGTCAACCGCTGCCACCCTGCTGTAATCGTTCAGCGCCCCTCTGTAGCTGTGTAAACCTAGAATTTGAGTACAATGTTCCAGTACAATCTGCAATTTGTAGTGGTTGTAAAGTAAGTTAGTTGAATGCAGTAGTTGTTGTGCAACTGCTGGCATGATAATTATGGTTCATTCAACTATTTCAACCCGGGGATATTATGGGGCTCTGCTACCAATGCCAATCCAGCCGGCGTGAACTCCAATGCTGTGTCAAGCTGTAAAGGGCTATGTGTCATGGAAAGCATTCAATTGTGATCTTGGTGGATCAAGCTAGTAATGGCTTACTTGTGATGGCGCAAGGGAGTTATTGATGGAATGGTGGTACCCAAGTACAGTGCAGGCTGGTCACTGGCAGTGCAAACATGAATGGATACTATGCATAGAACATGGCTGCGTCCTTTTTTTGTGGGGCAACTTGTCCCATAATTATTTTAGCTGGTGTAACCAACTGGCTGAAGTGGACATGCCCCCCCCCCCCCCCTGCAAGATCGAATGGCGGGAAGACTATGCATAGGTTCCAATCGTCTGTCCCTGTCCCATACATCTTACCGATGGAACTGAAAATTGTAAAAACCGTAAGACTGTCCAAGAAGTTGGTGCGACCAAGGTGATAGGAATACCTTTTAGGTGTGTGTGTGGGGGGGGGGGGGGGGTATTTGAGGTACAGATGGGTGTGCAAGTGTTTTCTTCGGCCGATACTTTCACAAGGCCTGGGAAACAATAAAATCAATGTTGAATGCTCTTCAGCTTGTTGGGGACATGTAGCATTGTCAAGCAGCTGATGTGAATATCTTTCTGCAAATATTTGTGATACGATGTGTCTTCCGCCTGCCAACACGAGGCTTGTTGCGTCCTTTTCCGAAAATCCTGATGGTGCAAAACTGGCCTTGCAACAAGCCCTTAGTGATGCAAGGGTGTTGGAAGGTATTTTAGGATTTGTATGGTCATCCATCTGAAGCCCCCCCCCCCCCCCCCCCCCATGGGCGCGCTCCCCTGAAGATCTAGAGGCAAAAGCATTTCCTTATTACTATTAGCGGGTACGTAAGGCAAAACAATGGCATGCGTAGTAACTGTGGCGTGTCCAGTGCCCCCTGCACCTCTCCCTGTCTTTGTGTTGCGCATGACCCTCGCCTGCGGATATGCACATGACTATACAGCCGGGCATGCAATGTATATGCATGCACTAAGCAGTTTGGCCACATGTCGAACTCCTCTCTGGCAAGAATTGCATATCACCTGGCATTAGAGACAACATTGTGCCTGCTATGGTGAGACACTATGTCAGCCCTGCCATTCTTTCACTGCTTGGACATCTGTCTGAACAAATTCTACTGGGGGTCCTTCTCTGGGTTCTGTGCATACTGTTTGTATCACTTGTGTTGCAAGTTCTTGTATTAAATGTTGAGTTTTTTACTACATTGTAACTGTCTGGTCTGGGCATGCAGTGAAACCCCTGGATTGGCTGGAATGGGCACCAGAAACAGAACCTCTTCCATTGTTGTTTTGGACTGGGGTTGCAATGTCTATGGTACTAGTTGAGTGGGTATGTGTGTCAGGATAAGAGAGGAAGCCAACTCTAGGGCAGGCGCTCAAGTGGCCTCAAAGTTATGTGTTATTTGTTGTGTCATGCCCTGCTGGCAACTTACGTAAGAGAGTTAGGAGAGGGTTTCAGGCGGGGAAATACTCCATAGTACTTCAGAACTATCTTTAGTCCAGGCTTGTTTTGCATAGTTTTGCCCATGATGTGTGCACTTGAAACAACAAAACTAGGCGTGAAACGATTATACCGAATCCTGGAAATAGAAATTGCTACAAGCTTACGGATCGATTATTCGTAAAGTTTCGATTTCTCGATTATGCGTACAGTATACATGGTTTACACATATGATTGTAGATCGACCGATGTGCGAGAAAAAATTCTCTTCTCAACAGGATCATTTTTTTAATTCTACATTTTTGCATGTTTCAGCTTCTCGTACTGCTTTTTATCTGTGGAAGAGAATAATCGAAAAATAACCGATAACCGACCGATAAAGGTTTACTGTAAAACCGGAAAGTCCACCGACCAAAAAGTTTAACGTTTTTGTAATTTTGGCATAATAACGTTCAGAAAGTTTAACGATAGCTACCTGACCACCCATCTGTATGCGCATCTTTACACAGACATCTCGTGATAACGTTTCTTCCAATAACGAAAAAAAATTGGTCGTTAAAACGTTAGACTTTGTGACTCGTTAGACTTTCCGGTTTTACAGTAGGTTATTCGGTAGTCAAAAAGTGTAATCGTTTCACCCCTAAACAAAACCTGTAGTGAGTATAGTGGTGTAAGCTATGTTTATGAGTGGTAGTTCAAAGAACATGTGAAACCTGATTTCGAAGCTCACCCCTGAGACCGTTCTATCACGGTCTCTGAACACAGGTGATTTCTGAGCCAGGCTGACCATCGCACATTCCAAAATTTCAGGGCTAGTGTAGTGGTTTTACAGACCAGGTTTTACCTGTGTATAGCGTGGCATTTTTCACTAAACTATGTCCAGCCATCTGGGAATGGATTTCTTTGATGCATCATTGCACCAGGCAATGATTACGAGGACCCCCCCCCCCCCCCCGCACATACATACATGTGTGTTCAATCCCCCTGTACACACCCTATGCAAGGGTGTTGGAAGGTATTTTAGGATTTGTATGGTCATCCATCTGAAGCCCCCCCCCCCCCCCCCCCCCCATGGGCGCGCTCCCCTGAAGATCTAGAGGCAAAAGCATTTCCTTATTACTATTAGCGGGTACGTAAGGCAAAACAATGGCATGCGTAGTAACTGTGGCGTGTCCAGTGCCCCCTGCACCTCTCCCTGTCTTTGTGTTGCGCATGACCCTCGCCTGCGGATATGCACATGACTATACAGCCGGGCATGCAATGTATATGCATGCACTAAGCAGTTTGGCCACATGTCGAACTCCTCTCTGGCAAGAATTGCATATCACCTGGCATTAGAGACAACATTGTGCCTGCTATGGTGAGACACTATGTCAGCCCTGCCATTCTTTCACTGCTTGGACATCTGTCTGAACAAATTCTACTGGGGGTCCTTCTCTGGGTTCTGTGCATACTGTTTGTATCACTTGTGTTGCAAGTTCTTGTATTAAATGTTGAGTTTTTTACTACATTGTAACTGTCTGGTCTGGGCATGCAGTGAAACCCCTGGATTGGCTGGAATGGGCACCAGAAACAGAACCTCTTCCATTGTTGTTTTGGACTGGGGTTGCAATGTCTATGGTACTAGTTGAGTGGGTATGTGTGTCAGGATAAGAGAGGAAGCCAACTCTAGGGCAGGCGCTCAAGTGGCCTCAAAGTTATGTGTTATTTGTTGTGTCATGCCCTGCTGGCAACTTACGTAAGAGAGTTAGGAGAGGGTTTCAGGCGGGGAAATACTCCATAGTACTTCAGAACTATCTTTAGTCCAGGCTTGTTTTGCATAGTTTTGCCCATGATGTGTGCACTTGAAACAACAAAACTAGGCGTGAAACGATTATACCGAATCCTGGAAATAGAAATTGCTACAAGCTTACGGATCGATTATTCGTAAAGTTTCGATTTCTCGATTATGCGTACAGTATACATGGTTTACACATATGATTGTAGATCGACCGATGTGCGAGAAAAAATTCTCTTCTCAACAGGATCATTTTTTTAATTCTACATTTTTGCATGTTTCAGCTTCTCGTACTGCTTTTTATCTGTGGAAGAGAATAATCGAAAAATAACCGATAACCGACCGATAAAGGTTTACTGTAAAACCGGAAAGTCCACCGACCAAAAAGTTTAACGTTTTTGTAATTTTGGCATAATAACGTTCAGAAAGTTTAACGATAGCTACCTGACCACCCATCTGTATGCGCATCTTTACACAGACATCTCGTGATAACGTTTCTTCCAATAACGAAAAAAAATTGGTCGTTAAAACGTTAGACTTTGTGACTCGTTAGACTTTCCGGTTTTACAGTAGGTTATTCGGTAGTCAAAAAGTGTAATCGTTTCACCCCTAAACAAAACCTGTAGTGAGTATAGTGGTGTAAGCTATGTTTATGAGTGGTAGTTCAAAGAACATGTGAAACCTGATTTCGAAGCTCACCCCTGAGACCGTTCTATCACGGTCTCTGAACACAGGTGATTTCTGAGCCAGGCTGACCATCGCACATTCCAAAATTTCAGGGCTAGTGTAGTGGTTTTACAGACCAGGTTTTACCTGTGTATAGCGTGGCATTTTTCACTAAACTATGTCCAGCCATCTGGGAATGGATTTCTTTGATGCATCATTGCACCAGGCAATGATTACGAGGACCCCCCCCCCCCCCCCCGCACATACATACATGTGTGTTCAATCCCCCTGTACACGTAGATCCATGAACCTTTGTGTTCTTGTGACAAACTTTGCATGTCTTGTTTGGGTTGTCTGGTGAAGGCATTGCTGTTTGACATGTTGGATAGGCTTGTTTGGACACTGGTGTACTTCATGTTAGCACCTGCACAATCTTTCTATCCGTTGGTGCTGTGTGAGTGGGTGTGCATGCGCCCTTGCCTGCGTGTGTGTGTGTGTGTGTGTGTGTGTGTGCGCATGCGTTCGTTTTTGTTAGTGGTGGTGGTGCTAACACTGTTGCCTTTGCTGTTTTCTGTGTTTTTTGTGTGTCCCCGCACAGAGTAGACCTGCTGGTGTCACCGAGGAGCAAGTAACCAATTGCCAGGAGCGCTTGGCAGTACGGCCGACTCCGTCGAATTTCTTCGAAGAGTGCAACAAGTTAGTGATAGGGTGCTTGCTACTTCTGTGTGTTCGCAGTGCCTTATTTATTATTATTATTATTATTGTTATCGGCCTTTTCGCATTGACATCACCAAACAAGCTTGGCTAGTTTTCGCTTACGCCAAATGGAATGGAGAATGAGGAGCGAGCAGGGTGAATGAGGTGCTTATACGCATGCAACTGCAGAACAGGCAACGCAGAAAATATCGAAACAGTCCGAAAAAATACCCTTGAACTGTGAAATCTACATGACTGTAGATATGGTGTCCCTTTAGTATGCAGTGACCCTATGCTCAGTGAGCCCTGGAACAAGAAATCACCTGATTCGTGGTATGTGCCAGGTCAGCTGAGGACCAAGCCACTACTGCTGCCATACGGGAGGCCAAACATTCATTCTCTTCTCCACAGTTAGTCCAGAAGGTGTCTGCTCTGGGTGGTTCTAATGTGAAAGTGGGAAACTCATGCAAGAGGTGTAGACCAACACGCCGTACCTTTCTCACGTTCACCCACTTGAATGGTGTTTGTTTGGTTGGAAGCTGTCAAGTACTAGTAGATCGATGTCTGCACTGCCTCTCCTGTAACCAGTTTGGGTTACACTGTCTTTGCCAAGTGCTCTCTCTGCTGGATCATCTCTATACTGGTGTTGACTTGTGGGTTTTGAACTGACAGCATGTTGTCAAGAGCGTAACACCTTCTTTGACACTCAAAGTTCACCAGGGCTAGATCTTGCACGGTTGTGGGTGGGTTATTTTGTCACCTCAGCAGCGCAATGTTATTGGGCACCTGGTATGAAAGTGGTGTCAATACACAGTAAAACCTGTCAAGGCGACCACTCGGATAAGCCGGCCACCTGTCCTAGAAGACTCCCATTGAAGCCAGGATCAAGGGATGCTATTTCCAGTCAAATGACCCTTGATAAGGAGACCACCTGGTAACAGGGACCACATTCCGAAGGTCCCTTGAGCGGTCGTCTTAGACAGGTTTCACTGTAATGTCTTATCTGGCTTGGCACGTGATCACTGCATTACTTGCGGCTTGCTTGTGTTTCCCCATGCAGAGCAATCCGTGAGCAGCTGTCTGGTGATATCTACTCCCAGTTCAAGGAGAGTCTGTACTACGATCGTTACCTTCAGTTCAAATGGGTGGAAAGGTGAGTTGGGGCATATAGAGGCTATGCGAATGATATCATGGCAGTGAGTCAGAGGAGCCGCTGATGGGCGCTATGTATACAGCGTGAGCCAGCGGAATCGCATATGGCCGCTGTGTGTGCAGCGTGAGTCGCTATTGCATCGCGTTGCCGTGACTTTGTCAAAGCATCTCCACTGGTGACGCCATCACGTAACCTCTACAGCTCTGAACTGTCTTGCTGGTCCTACTCTGAACGGCCGCAGGGTCAGGCATGCTGCGACTGCTCACGTTTTGACTCCGAGTTTCTTGCATTGTGCCAAACTCTGTAAACCTCCTTTGTGCCTTTTGAAATCTTTTCTCGTTTCTGCATAACATCATATCTACCGGTGTGGTATCTGTCCCGTGCTTTCCCAATGTAGGCAACCGCTTCACAAAAAGCTTTTTCGGGAATTTCGTGTCCTAGGGAAAGGCGGCTTTGGAGAGGTGAGTAGTGGACTGAGAATTGTTTATGCAATGCTAATAGGCATGGCACAGTGTGTAATTGCTCATGATATGAACGTATGCACAGTCTTGGTAGAGGAACTGTGAGGGTGAGAAGAACAGAACGGCAAGTGTCAGCACTCATCTTACATTCAAGATATTTGCCGTTTCCCAGCGGAGAAAAAACACATGCTTGCCGGGAACATGAAGTGTATTTCCAACATGTGTTTGAGCTCTCGTTTTTTTTTTAATCTTGCGGCTGCGCTGCCTTTTGTGGGGTTGCGCAGGTCTGCGCATGTCAGTGCAAGGCAACCGGCAAGATGTATGCCATGAAGAAACTGGAAAAGAAAAGAGTCAAGAAGAAGAAAAGCAACACAATGGCTCTAAACGAAAAGGAAATTCTTGAGCAACTATCGAGCCGCTTTATTGTAAGTAACCTGGTGCACATGAGAAGTTCTATATTGGCTGCTACATGGAATTGTTTTTATGCTGCTGTTCCACTGTCGTGATTTGTGATTTCATTCAGTGTGATGTGGCGGCCCTGCGGGACTCGGCTGAGTTGGTTTGCCAGGTGCATGTTGTTAAGAGAGCTCATAGCGCCTGTCTCCCCAACGCATGACTTGGGAGGCTCTCAATTTCTGTACCAAGCATATCCTGTAACGTGATGGCACTTGAAGTGCTGCAACCTATCCCCGAACCGAGAATTGTCTTAGGATGCATGGATGCGTGTGTTTCTCTCACTTCTACCCGCCTGTCTGCCTGTCTGTCTGCCTGCCTGCCCGCCTGACTGTCTGCCTGCCTGCCTGGCGATGTTTGCAACCACACTTGTTGATATGGTGTTTGATTTTTAATACCCAGGTTTCACTGGCCTACGCGTGTGAGACAAAGAAGGCGCTATGCATGGTGTTGACGCTGATGAACGGCGGCGATCTCAAGTATCACATACACACCATGGCGCACGCTAACGGTCGCACGGGCCTTGAGAGGGACCGGGCCATTTTCTACGCTGCCGAGATCTGCTGTGGACTGCAGCATATGCATGAGAAGAGCATTGTGTATAGGTGAGTAGGAGGCAACAAGCGGTTTCTGGTACAGGGACGCCCTGCCCCGAAAATGGGGTATTACGGTAAACGTGCGATGTGTACGTCTGGGTTCGAATCTCACTTTTTTGTAGGGGTGGAGTGTTATGCCCTGCCCTAAATCACTGTGCATTATGATGTCTAAAATATCGGAGCTCATAGTTTGCAGTATTTTGACCTGTATTTTCAATTTTTCTGATCATATTTCAAAACCTCCTTCTTGGAAACACCATACGTGGCCGAGTGCTGAGATGCTTGAACGGTTACAAGGGGTTTGTTGGAGAACACACCACTCCACCACGCCTGCTTACAGCCAGTGAGTTCACTCACAACACAACAGAGCTTCAAAGGAAAAGAGTTATTCTTCTAAAATCAAAAAAGAGAAACCCTCTACCATCACCACGAGTTGGAACTGACCTCGTGCCCGAGATCGAACGGAAGCTAGGCAATGCAAAAGTCGAGATGACCTACAATCGACACAGCGTGTATAGTAAATCTACGCGGCCGCACACATGGTACACATCAATGCGCCTACGCTTGAATCGAACCTACGCATGAATGCACTGATCACGCTATCAGCATTCAGCAACAGTTAAGCATACAAGCTTCCAGTAGCACACAAGCGATTCATAGGCAGTCGTTGCTTACTTTCACCGATGTCCAACATATGTCTTGTAATGCGGCAGATATACTGCAATACGAATAATTAATTCGAATCTAAATTGGTATGCATTTCATCGCAACGTTCAACAGGCAAAGGGGCTAAAATAGCGCCTAAACCCCAGATTTTTGGTTATTAACCCTTTAGGGCCCACAATTATTTCAAGAAATGCACTGCATACGCGAGCCCGGGTACTTATCTGGTCGTAACTTTGGTGTCCTTTGGCCGATTTTGGTGATCTTGGGCTTTCTGGAAAGCTCTTGGCCAGAGGAACACAGCGATAGTCAGCAATACATCACTCGATCCACAGAACCAGCGCCGCAGCGCGATACGGCGCTCCAAAGCCAGCATTGCGAGCGCCCAACTCAAATTCTCTGCCATTTCAACAAATTGCATCGCAGATCGCTCAATTTTTTTTTACTGGAGAGCTGAGAAACATGCCTTTGCGATGACGTGAACTATCTGTAGCTGCGTGGGCCGCGAGTCAGGGAAAACCCCTAAAAACGAGTTCAAAATGCACGCGCTCGAGTTGACTCTGCTGAGCGAATTTAGTTCGAGGCTCGTATCTTCGCTCTCCGAACTCGGATCGCTTTCGGGTTTTTTCGAGCCGATAGCTGAGACAATTCTAATGTCGATAGCCCTTTCGATTGTCCGATTTGGTCAAGGGACGGCCGAGTTACGCCAGGTTGCGCTTTGAAAAGTATGCACTCTACACTGGTACGGATATATCCGTACTATGGGCCTCAAAGGGTTAAATATTGCAAAGAAGTCTTGATAAAATTTAATAGGATATTGATCTCGACTTTGGTCTTTATGGGAAATACAGACCTCGTCTCTGTCAATATCCTATACAATCATATTGACATGAAGTTGATTGTTCCAACTAGGAACACACGCTTCTTGCCGAACTTGACACTTGACTGACTCACAAGTGTCAAGTTCGGCAAGAAGCGTGTGTTCCTAGTTGGACCAATCAGCTTCATGACTATTACCGCCGAAGTCGCAACTTCTAAGTTCGAATCATATTGACACTACGCAGTATTCGAATTATCAGAATTCCACCTGTGTTGGAAAGAGACTCCTGTGGTAATTGAATATGTGCATGCATCTTGATTAGAATGGACTCGGACATTATAGCGTAACTTGTAGTAGTTCCTTGGTCCATTTCTTTTCTATAAATTTGTCTTGACTAGGATTCAAAAAGTCACCATTGCGTTTAATTTTCTTTTTTTCTTTTTTTTTGTACTTCAGGGACATGAAACCAGAAAATATTCTACTAGATGGTAACGGTGAGTGCCCTCTGCTGATGACTGTTTAATTAAAAAGTAATATTGCTGACATAGTTCCCATGATCAAAGCCGAACATTTTCATATGAAATGTTGTGTCAAGCCACTCCTGTGGAGTGTAGGCTGAACATTCATTTTCATGCAAACAAATACAAAACTGGAATATGGCAGTTTGCGTCGTCCATGTTGAAAATCATCTGGAGGTAGGATGTGAGAAATACAAGCAGCAGCAGTGATTTGCTGAAGGAATCCTGTCTTCAACTCCTGGAAACTGTCATGGAAGCTGATGTGGTGCAGCTACTAGCCGGAGCCTCGTGTTATGTTGATTGTCCTAATCTCGGTGTATCTCCCTTCTGCAGGTCATGTGCGCATCAGTGATCTGGGCCTTGCCATTCACCTACCGCCGGGCAAGGCAGCTCATGGTCGTGTCGGTACTGTCGGCTATATGGGTAGGTGTGTTCTCTTCCCCTTCAGCTTTCAAGCAATCTTCACCAACAGTTTGTCTCTGGACTATCTATTGCGCTGCAATGTGTCTTGTGTACCGATCTGGGGTATTTTTGCTGAGGCAAGTTTCTATGCCCTTGCTCTTTGCCTTTGTCTCATGTTGTTGGTGCTGTTTTCTTTTCTTCACCGTGTTGTGTGTTGCTGCTCTTCTTGCTCTGTTTGCCCGCAGCACCTGAAGTAATAAAGGGCGAGCGGTATCGCTACGCTATTGACTGGTGGGGCCTAGGTTGTCTGGTATATGAGATGTTCCAAGGACAGGTATGCACGCGAATGGTTGACTTTACCCTCATCTTATCTCCTACGTCCTGTAGTGATGTTGTTGTTGTAGCTTTTAGGAATGTCCCTATACTGCGTCCTGTTCGCTTCAGTGCGGAATGATGTCACAATGTACATGTACCCTAGAGTACCGCTGTCCCACGCCCACTTGACAATCCACCACCCAGAGGATGTTGAGGCTATGAAGCCAACAGTCAACACTGCACCTGCAGTATACCAGTAGGAGACCGGGATGCTGCACAATAGTATGAACTGAGTGCAACCTCCGAGCTCTGTACGGGATTTGCGGCGTGAAGCAGAAGATGAATACTCCTGCTCGGCACTGCCTTCTGCACATACATGTACACCGCAGGCAGATGTATCAAATGCCCCCTCCCTCCCCGCCATATCACTGTCCTCAATTATACAACTCATTTTTCGTGAAAATATTGACGTCATATGCCATATCTATGGCCTTTCCCATCAAAATGTATATGATTTGGAGATACGGACATTTCAAAGTTACGGGCCGTGCCCGGTCCCGGACTGCCCGGAAAAACGAGCTTTGAGTGTAGTAAAACAAGGGAACGGAGAGACGCACAAAAACGAAGTCCCAATCAATTTCGGGCTACAGGATGGGGATGACGATGATGATGATGATGATGATGATGATTTTTGATGATGATGAAGCCACTTCTTTGGGCAAACAAAACACAATTTCCCAAGATGAAGGAGTGGAACCCTACACAAATAATAGTTTAAATGAATCCAACGCAAAGATCGTTTTTCCATGAAATACAACAATTGAACACAATTACATGCTTAAAGGCATGAAAGCAACAAAACAGCAACAAAAGGGTAAGCGCCATACCAATCCCACATGCACAGTCAGGACACAGCACGATACTTAACAAACTAGACCTGACTCGGCCACGGCAATCGAGACATCATGAAAACATCTCGCCGGATGGTGGTACCGTGACCGAGCCCCACGTATGCACAACACAGCAGCACGCAGCAAAGCAAAAGACAGCCGACAGCGGAGTAAACCAATGACCTGGGAATAGTGAGATCCCGATGACTCGGCCTGCATCTGGCACAGTCTCTTGAGGAACACATTGCACAGCCTCCCACAACCACCATGCACAGAGAACACGAGAGGTGTGAAAGCGGCTCTTTCTACATTTGTGACTCTTGGCCCATATTCGTTCCACTTACGCCGCTCGTGCTGCTGGTACAATGCAGGAAGGGTTCTGGACCCGTAGGAAGGAGCATCTGGGCAAAATACCCTTACATCAAAAAAAGCTTCCTCCCCACGGGTCCAAAACCCTCGAGCGGCTATGTCCAGGCGCGCATCCTCTCGGCGGTTCGTTGACCGAAGAGGAAACCTCTCACCAGAAAGAGGTTGCAGCGCTGGTTCTGTCGAAACGGCAGTGCAGACTTCAGTCAATTCCCTCGCCAGCAGGTCACGTATCTCGTTATGACGAAGTGTCGGGAAGCCGCCCCTGGCGCAACATAGCTGATGCTCAACTGAGAACAGCTCACCACACACACAGGTTGCTGGTGTATTGGCTAGCGGCCATGCATATCTCAATGCCAGAGCATCCCGGAAGTCACGCTTGGTGAGACGAAAGCCATGCTCCGCCAGGGGCAGCACGCTCAGCCATGAGGATGATCCTTTCTCCGTGTGTTCTTCTATTCGTCGCTTCGTCATCTCATCGCTCGTGTCCACTATTTTGTTCCTGGCTGCCTTTGCGCGCTCCCGGTTTTCGGTGTGGACGACACGCTTTTTGTGACGCATTTCATCGATCATCCTCTGAAAGGGGGTACCAGCACCAGCAACATCAGCAGCCACATCCGGTCCAGGGTTTGAGTTGCCAGCGACCTCCCGCGGCTGCACCTCCGTTGCCGTCATCGTGGGAGTGGGAGACGCTCCACCACGGTCAGCAGTATCTGCAGAAGCCGGCACATCTCCAGCGAGAGAAATTGGATCGCTATCCTTAGCGAAATCGCCCAGAACCTCCTTCACCATAGGTCCGGACACTTGCTTGGAGCCCTGGTGCTCAAACCGTGGTCGAGTCGTGAGGTCCGGAAGGGCCATCCCACCATCCCGTGTCGGGAGCTTTAGAATATCAATGTCTTTCAGAGGCACGCTCGGTTGTCCCACGAGCTCCGGTAGAAGTGAGGAGTGAAGCTCCCGCTCCAACGGCACCAAGTCCTCCGCAGAAACAGCCATAGTTCGAAACACATAGTTCCATCTGTTGACTAAGCCATGGGTCAACGCAGAGTATGCTGCATGCGGCTCTGATGCGGCATAATTTGCTAAAATCTCTGTATGTTTCGCCCACTCTTCTACTTTTGTCTCTTTGAATTCTCCGAGGAATGCCTCAGTCCCGATAGCAGCGCCCAGATACTGTACGCCACGAGACTTGACGTGGATAGTTGTGTCACCAAAAGTCTCGGCAGCCAAGGACTCAAAGCCAGGCTTGACGAGTAGTTGCGTTTTTGTTTCGTTGATGTTGTAGCCGTATTTTTGGCCCTCTTCCTTAAGGAGGTTGTACCACTTTCGCAATGGGGAGAGCCCTCCGGCAGCTGCCGAGTCATCTGCAAACCATCCCTGGCACACATCTGCAACATTGGTTCCGACTGACTTGACGAGAGGGGTGAGAGCCGTGGCATAAATGGCCATCGCAAGAGGGTCACCCTGGGTTGTGCCCTCCTGTGACAATAAAGACTGGCCACCACGCACAAAGAGGGATGCAGGGTCTTGGTAAGTATTCAATGTTATTTGTGCTAGCGGGGGGCATACTCGAGCAATATTGTGCAATGCAGCGCGGCGATTCAAGCTATTGAAGGCATTGCGAGCATCGACTAGCAACACTGCCTCAGCCTTTTCCGAAGCAAAGGCAGCCGTCATTGAGTGCACCATAGCCTCCACCCCAGCCGGGATGCCCGTGCAGGCCTGAACTGGTCCGCAGGCTTGCATAATGTCGGGTTTCATCATGATGATGATGATGATGATGATGATGATGATGATGATGATCAGTCAAGAATTTCAGGAGTTATTGTTTGATGGGTCGTTAGATAGAGGCCGGTGTTTGTGAGACTGCAATCATTTAATGTTTCTTCCTTAGTGGTGTAGGTAGATTCTGTTTTGTAAGCATAGTAGGACTACTTTTGTTTTGTAAGTCAATCTCATTCTCCACGCTTTGCTGTCATTTGGTTGATGTTTTGAAGTAGTTTTTATGACCTGATGTTTGTTTTTTATATTTGTAGTTCTATTGTTGACATCTTTTGTCTTTTCTTTGGGTTAAAAGGTTAACTTCATCCTCGTTTTCCTATTGCCTTGTATTGGAATTTGCCCATAAAAGTGGCTACGGTGTGATAATGCATTTCTATAAATTATTTCGTGTTTTAACATTATTTTCAGAAAATTGCTCTTACAATACCTTGCGTTTCATATTCATAATATTGTTGCCCGTAAAAGCGGCTTGGTCACATGATGATGATGATGATGATGATGATGATGATGATGATGATGATGATGATGATTTTTTTTTTTTTTTTTGATGATGATTGAAGCCACTTCCTTGGGCAAACAAAACACAATTTCCCAAGATGAAGGAGTGGAACCCTACACAAATAATAGTTTAAATGAATCCAACGCAAAGATCGTTTTTCCATGAAATACAACAATTGAACACAATTACATGCTTAAAGGCATGAAAGCAACAAAACAGCAACAAAAGGGTAAGCGCCATACCAATCCCGCATGCACAGTCAGGACACAGCACGATACTTAACAAACTAGACCTGACTCGGCCACGGCATCATCATCATCATCATCATCATCGAATATGGGCCAAGAGTCACAAATGTAGAAAGAGCCGCTTTCACACCTCTCGTGTTCTCTGTGCATGGTGGTTGTGGGAGGCTGTGCAATGTGTTCCTCAAGAGACTGTGCCAGATGCAGGCCGAGTCATCGGGATCTCACTATTCCCAGGTCATTGGTTTACTCCGCTGTCGGCTGTCTTTTGCTTTGCTGCGTGCTGCTGTGTTGTGCATACGTGGGGCTCGGTCACGGTACCACCATCCGGCGAGATGTTTTCATGATGTCTCGATTGCCGTGGCCGAGTCAGGTCTAGTTTGTTAAGTATCGTGCTGTGTCCTGACTGTGCATGCGGGATTGGTATGGCGCTTACCCTTTTGTTGCTGTTTTGTTGCTTTCATGCCTTTAAGCATGTAATTGTGTTCATTTGTTGTATTTCATGGAAAAACGATCTTTGCGTTGGATTCATTTAAACTATTATTTGTGTAGGGTTCCACTCCTTCATCTTGGGAAATTGTGTTTTGTTTGCCCAAAGAAGTGGCTTCATCATCATCATCATCATCATCATCATCATCATCATCATCATCATCATCATGTAACCAAGCCGCTTTTACGGGCAACAATATTATGAATATGAAACGCAAGGTATTGTAAGAGCAATTTTCTGAAAATAATGTTAAAACACGAAGCAGCGTCTGTGTTGTCTCGATCACAAGCCCTGAGTCAGCTGAAGTCTCACGAGCGAAACAAGAAAAATCAATACGCCAGCCGTGTGGTTAACGTGGAGCGCGGCTCCTTCACGCCACTTGTGTTCTCGACGTACGGCTTTAGTGGCCCAGAAACTACTCAATTCCTGAAATCATTGGCCTCCCTGTTTGTTGAGCGCCATACTGAACTGAAGTACCCACTAGTAATGGGCATACTACGCACCCGTTTGTCTTTCTGCTTGCTGCGATGGGCAGTCACCTGCTTCCGCGGTTGCCGCGGTTCGTACGGCAAGAGGCGACAGCCGAACTCATTTCTGGCCCAGTGCCGCCAGGCGGAGTAGGGTGCTGCCTTTGGCCTCAACTTAATATAATGCTATTTGGTTTTTCCCCTTTTATTACTCTGTGTTCATTGCTTGTTTTTGTATTGATTTACTTCCTTGACTGCTTTTGTGTTTCATCATTTTCCG